GTTCCACTCAGTCCCTTCTGCTATGCATATCTGTTTTAAACACAAAACAGATAATGCACAATGTGCTCCTGCTGTCACATAATAAATTCCAAGCAAAGCAACTAACTGATCCCCTGCCTCCCAGAACGACACATTTCTTAGAACAGGTAAGAACAATAATGAGCAATCACATGGTGCAGGAAAGTAGTCACTGAAGATTAAGAAAAGCAAAATCTGGCATTAATGGTCCCAAGGAGTCAGATCTTGCCCTGCCCCCAGACTTCATTTATATTGTATGATTAAATACATGGGCTTTGAATGTTGAAAGGTTGAAAGACAGACGCTGGTATAACTCATCTGTGTCCTTGGTCAAATGATATTATCTTTCTAGTTTTGTTTTCCCTTATCTATGAAACAGGACAATATTGCCACCTTCTTTCACTGGGTTGTATCAAAAAATAAAAGCCTGGAGTGGTCATGGTAACAAATACCTGTAATCACAATACTTGGGAGACTGAGGCATTATTATTAGGAGTTTAAGGACCACTACATAGGAAGCTTCAGTCTGAGACAGAAAATTTTTTAAAAAGCCTGTATTATTAACTAATTCTAACTTGTGTGTGTGTGTGTGTGTGTGTGTGTGTGTGTGTGTGTGTGTGATTGACTAATTCTATCTTGTGTGTGTGTGTGTGTGTGTGTGTGTGTGTGTGTGTGTGTGTGTGTGTGTGTGCGTGTTAATTTATAGCTCAGTATTGGGCTAAAAATAGTATAAGTGATACTATTAGTATAATTGAATATCAATAAGGGTTTGTCAACAATATGCAATATCTGTCCCTGACCTGGTTTTCCAGGTCCACAAATAATGATACCCATAAACACATGGAGCTTGTATGAGAGAATTTAGAAGTTTAGCCTCTGCCAAAGTGGAAATCTTCCTCTGTATTCCCCTTCCTTTCTTTGTGAGGTCTCAGTCATTTCCGAGGAACTGTTCTTCTCTAGGTCCGTCAACACTAAAGCCAATAACTTATTGAAGAAAGCTTTAAAACTGCAAAACAACCAGTCCAGCGCTCAGCTTGCACCCACTGCCTTTGTGTGTCTCTCATACTCTGGGCCACTATTCATGTGCCCTGTCATCGACACCATTAGGGTTAGCCCCAGTACCTCAGAGACTGCTGGAAGGATCCCAACTAGACAACCCAAAAACTTGAACTTCCTTCCCTGTTCTTTTCAGCAGAGATCTTGAGTGAGGCTCTTCCCCACAGCTCCTCATTATGACCGTCTCTTCATGACCATAATGGTGATTCCTAATTCTCTGGATGTACCTGCTTCTCCCTCCCACTGAGCAACCAAGTTCCATTGTCTTGTGATCACTGAGTACAACAAACTATCTCTTTATGGGCAGAGTCATCATCATCATCTCTTTTGATCTTGTCACATTTAAATAATAAAACATGTTTCAAAATGTCCACTCCTTAACCTCCAATTGGAAGCAGGACCACCATCATTTTCTTGATAGGTCTTTACCATCTTCTCCATGGATTTGAGCACAGTTACTAGTATATAAAGTAACTTAGGAAATAGAATCTTCTTTGTTGCTTTCAGAACAGTAGATAAATGTTTGGCAATCAGACAGTGCCTTTGTAAAAGTAAAAGCTGACCTCTTCTGGAAATAGACAAATATCTGAACAGGAGCAACAGGTGTGTCCATGGAGGTCTGGCAGGAAACAGGCCTTCCTCAAGGTGCCCTTGTTCAGTGAGCAATGTCCCCAGCTCTGGAGGACAACCTGGTATCTGAACACTCCAAGCATGTTTCCCAATAACTCACAGCAGTCCAGAGATCATAAGTAGCATTCTATTTGCCTTTTGTGGCTGTGATGAAATACCACGGGCAAAAGCAGCTTCTGGAAGAGTTTATTTGTGATTATGGTTTCAGGGGGGAAGAGTTCATAAGTGCAGAGAGGCATGGCAGCAGGTAGCTAGAGCAGGAAAACTGACACATCTTCAATTGCATGCAGAAAGCAAAGAGAACAAACTGGAATTTAGGCAAACCTAACTTTCTCAAAACCTACCATAAACACTTTCTCCATCAAGTCTCTACATTCTAAAAGTTCCACAATCTCCCCAAATATCATCACCAACTTTGGTCTAAGTGTCCAACTATCTGTCATTTCTCATTCAAAATACTACAAATATGTAAAGGGAAAGGGCTCAAGAAAGGCAAAAACAAAAGAGTGTGGGACACTGAGAATGACAAGAAAAGTGGAAATCATGAAAGCTTATAGTTTTGAAGGACATAGTAAACCCTCTCCCAACCTGCCCTTTCATATATGAGAACCATAAACTGAATGGTTAGCCTTCCATTAGAGTCAGTTGTGAATTTTGGGCTTGAGCAATACAACAGAATAAAACAGAACTGTGGTTGGTTCACAAGACCCCACTCTGGTGTATAGGCACTTTCTATAGTACCTCTTCTGAATATTTTCCATACAGTATACCAGATGCCACAATGTAAAACTAATTTTCACAACCCTAAAACCATAGGTGCAATAAGAGTCCTCAGTAGATCCAAACAAAAGAAATAGGGTGGTGCTTTTGTTATTTTGTTGGCTTGGGGAGATTTGGGAGTTATGGTTTTTGTGATTTTTTTTAATTGGATAAATGGTATTACTTTGTAGTTCAAGCTAGCCTCAAACTCACAATCTTGCTGCCTCAGCCTCCCAAGTGCTAGGATTACAGGCATGTTCCCCATGGCCAAAAACATTATGTTTTAATCATGAAAACATGAATCATTAAACTAGGTAAAAGCTTCCATGTGACTTGGGCTTTTTTTTGGGGGGAGGGGTCTCTAGAACCAGGCAATGGAGTTCTGAAATGAGGTACAAGGTTGGGCTACCAGTGAAGACACAAGGCAACTTCACAAAAAGTGATGCATCTTGCCAAATTGGGGATGAGTCTGAGAAGAATACCGTCAGAGGATATGGGGAGCTCACAGAAACTGGGATTCATGAGGAGGCCAGAGAGCTGGAGGAGATGCAGAGTCTGAGCTGGGCTCTGTCTGGCTCCATGGTGCAGCATCGCCCAGAAGTGAGAGAAGACAGAAGCAGCTAAACCTTAGTGCCCAAGAACAGAGAACAAGTTTTCTCTGGCCTGTAGCACCATTTGAAGGAAAATATCTTCTTAAGTATAAGAATTCATTTTTTTTATTTTTTGAAATACATCAGCTTTGTATTAAAGACAATGTTAGATCTCAACAAGTAATTATGTCAGCAGCCTAGATTTAGGAAACCACCAGTGATCACAAAGTTAAAAAAAATAAACACACCATGTTAGTGTATTGCTGTTGTCTACATGGCTACAAGGATCATTTTTAAGTATCTTTAAGAGACAAAGAAGAGAAAGAGGGTTGGAGCTGTCTGCCTGATGAGCAGGAAGTTTATTAACATGAAGTTAAGAGATATGTGTTATGAAATGAATTTATTTTTCAACCTCTCTAATCCCCTGAAAGTTAAGGGAGCATTCTCAAACTTGAATATGAAATTTATCCTATGACTGTGATTACCTGAAGCTAAAAAGAAAAAGAATGAAACAGGCCCTAAATGTGAAGCAATGAACCCTTTTTTCTATCTGCATGCACTGAGGTGCTGTGACCAGTGACACACTGATGGTGACAAGTTCTCAAGCAAGTACTCCCCCCACCACACATACACACTGCCCCCCCCCCACACACACATTGCATCAGAAAGTGACTCCAGGAAATGGTAGAGTATTGGAGGCGCTAAGCCTGGAGCTGAACTATTGGGATTTTATGTGAGTTCTAGGTAGACCTAAAAGATTCCAGAGTTAGCATAAGTGAAACAGTCATAATCTGTTGCTAGACAGCTACCCATGTATGTACTCACACCTTTAAATTTTATTCCTAAGACCTTTAAGATGGTTAAAGGTCATGCAGCTTATATAAACATTTGAATACGGGTTGTTCTATTTTTAAAAATAGTCTAAATGCCACAGTCTGTGATTTGTCTCTTTGGCTTTCCACATTTAACTGAAAAGGCATCAGCTCTGTAGATCAGCCCTGAACCAGTACCAAATGGTACTGTCTCCACAGGAGTCAGAAAACATTTCCTGGGAAATACTTGTCAACTGCTTCCATCAATTTGAGTGGTAGAAGGGGGTCCAAATTGACTAGAGAACCATTCTATCTGTAAATATACTGTGATGTTTGTAAGACATTTACTACATAAATCACTCTGATGTAATCTAGTATCTTAGTTTCTTCACCACTTACATCACTTGGGTTTGCTATTCACATATGTATTTTCTTGTTTCTCACTTTCTGGTTTTCCAAATCTATGCCAACAATGTAGTTATAAGAAACCTTTGATCTTCACACACTGAGAGGGCAGCAAGCTAGCCAACTGATTTCAGGAATTTGTGGGGAACCTTCTATTAAGCATTGTGTATCTTGTGCTTCCTTTTATTTGGGTATACAAACATGGTATTTAGAGCTGAAATACCAAGGATGTGAAGTATAGAAAGATTGTGCTCTTACTTCATAAACAAAGTAGCCCGACTTTTCTCTACCTTCTATTATCTTCTCTTTTATAGTGCATAAGACAGGCTGACCCAAGTGCCCTGAAAAGCCAGATATATATGCATTGCTTGTTTAAGTACATATTGTAAAAAACAACCACAGAAGGAGTCACAGACCTGTTCAAGATCACACAGATCAAGGCAGAATCAAACTCCCATTTAGTGTCCCCCTACACCAACATCAAGAGCTTGGATTTTTTCTCTTCTATGGGTTGCTGAACAGCATCACATGACAGCAAGGTATTAGTCATTCTCCATATCTTCAAAGGCATCACTGCACTGTCTAAAACACAATGTTCTACAAAAAAAAGGCTAGAAATCAAAGTTCGAGGACCCCATGGAGAAAGAACAAAACACAATGGTTTTCACTTGCATACTTATATGTCCAACACCTCCATAATGAAGGATGGTGTCAGTTCAAAGTCACTTACCCAAATCTGAAGCTTGATTCTCTTTTCATTTTTGAATACAGTTTTTACTTTGAAATCGATGCCAACTGTGCTGACAAACGCAGATGTAAAGGAGTCGTCCGCATAGCGGAACAGGAAAGATGTTTTTCCCACACTGCTATTGCCAATGATCAGCAACTTGAACATGTAGTCAAAGTTCTGGTCAGAAGAGGAGTCCTTCTGGCCAAACCTGGCATCTTGTGCTGAGGCCATCTGTGGGGAAGCAGGCATGAATCAGTGTCCCATTTGATATGAAGCTAGCAGCACACTCATTATTGCCCTTGCCAGAAACAGATGTCAGCGACTCAGGAGGCAAGTAGAGAGCGCTCCCCAATCCCCCTCTGATACTGGTATCCATGGCAATAATTCCCAGCTGGAAAACAGAACAGCAAATCCTACAGCTCTTTCCAGCTGTGTTGGTGCTTGTCACTGCTCAGCATTCACAAGCAATCAAAGACACCAAAGGCGACATCTCTCAAAGTAACATGAAAAAAGCAAAGATATGAGGAATTGGCAGGGAATGTGAACTCTGAAACTTTGTAATCTCAGTTAGGGGGACTGCAAAGTGAATGAGCCGGGCTTATTCCTAAAAAGTGTGAATTATTTGTTGAGAAAAAATTATAAGCATATCTCTACTTTATCTAATAACATCATTATCTAGTCAGCATCCCAATATAAAATCAATCTCCTTAAAATTAAAAATAATGATAATGATAAGTTTATATGGTTCAAAATGGAGCAGGCATTGTTCGCTTATTTAATCCTCATAATAACATGAGGTGGGGTACCTTATCCCTACTAATATGAGGAAATTGAGCTTCAGAAATACAAGATGATGTACTCAAGTTTAAATAGAGGTAAGAAGTAGAGTCAGGGTTAAAACCAGGCAATTCCTGACTTTTGACCTATTTCTAGGTGACATCTACAGAAATATGCTCAGCAGTCCAGATGGTCATGTGGAAGGCATTTCTTGATGGAAGCATGGAGAATCCTACCTAGGTTCAAGCACTGATTCTGTTACTTACCATTTCTGTGAACATGGCTTTATTTATTTTCAGTTTTCTTCATTGTATACTTGTTTTACTGTCTGAGAATCCTGTGCAGACATACAATGTGTTTTGTGGGTTTAATAATTGATATGCTATAGTTTCTCTTCTCACATGAAGTGAAAATGACATAGTACCCAGAATGCTCAAGAAAGTAATATATAATATATCTGTAAATCAAAACTATAACTCAGTATAGATAGAGATTATTTTCTTGTTGATTATAAATGCCCTAGATAGATGCTTCTTCTTCCTCATTTTTGTGATAATTTTAATATCTATCAAAGAGTCATTGTATCACTTCTAAGTAGCTCAAGAGAGAAAAGAGGCTTTTTTGAATGATGAGTCCATTTGCTTCAGCACCTTCCTGGTACTATGAATTATTTGGCAATTGCTCTGCTAGTCAGTGTGCTAGCCACTAAGCACATATGGCAGTTTAAACAATACTAAAATTAAACAGAATTTAAAATGTAGTTTCTTAATTACACTAGCCACATTTTAAGCATATAACTCCCCCACACATACACCAGCTAATGTACTGGATAGTTATATACAAAACATTGGCATCATTGCAGCAAGTTCTACAGAAAATGCTAGCCTAGACAGTATGTTTCCCATAAAAGCTGGTTAATATTTATTACATCTTCTCTTGAGAAATGCTATGTGTTCGATGATGGTGTTCCTGTGATGGAAGCTTGGTTCTCCATCTGCTGTGGTAGAAACTTGAAATGTGGGACCTAGTACAAGACAGGTCACTGGGAATACTGCTCTCATAAGGGAGCAATGTGACTCCTCAAGGGACCTCGGTGAGTTTCCACAACAGCATGTTGTTGCAGCACAAACAAGCCTGCCCTAAATCCCTCTGGTTTCCAAGATCACCCAGTGATCTCTTGACTCTTACATGTATTCACATCATGTCACCTCACATTCCATGATACAGCTAGAAGACCCTCCCTAGAGGACTTACAGAGGTTGACACCATGAATTTGGATCTCAAAAATATGACTCAGTAATCCAGTTTTTAAAATTTTTATTGAAATTAGAAACAAGCCTGCTTCACATGTTAATCCCATCTCCCTTTCCCTCTTTTCCTCCCCTGCCTGCCCCCCACATTCCTCCTCTGCTACCCAGGGAGGGTGAGGCTCTCCATGGGGATCTCCAAAGTCTGTCATATCATCCCCCATGTGTCCAGGCTAAGAGAACATCCCTCCACATGGAATGAGCTCCCAAAGTCCATTCATACCCAGGGATAAATTCGGATCTACCACTAGAGATCCTATATATTGCTAAGGCCTCCTCACTGACACCCATGTTCAGGGGGTTCTGAATCAGTCCCATGCTGGCCTCCCAGCCATTAGTCTGGGTTCCATGAGTTCCCCCTTGTTCAGGTCAACTGTTTCTGTGGGTTTCACTAGCTCAGTATTGACCCCTTTGCTCTTCACTGTTCCCTCTTTGCAACTGCACATCATGTTTTTTAATATAGTATCCAGCACCAGGTATTTTGTTGCAGCAACTGAAAATGTAATAATCCTAGAAGGTGGAGTACAAAAGAAGCTCCAGCAAGGAGTAGATACCAAAAACAATAAACAGCACTGGGCTCATCTAAGACACCTAAGATGATATTACTTGCCTGAAGCCAGAAGAAACAGTGTGGAGGAGGGATGTACAGCTGAATTAAATGGGGAAAATGAGATGAGAGAACATACCACCCTTCTACATACACTTACTGGCAGCAGTAGAGTGCCATCATTTGTATAAAAGTAACACAAAGGGGAGTATCTCTCTGTTTCACAAAAGTTAAAAGTGATAAAGATCTGATTGAACTTCACATTTTCTAAACTAATACAGACTTAAGCATTTCTTGTAAATCCATGTGACCACAATGACATATCCAAGGAATAGTGATAACTTATAGGGAGAGTTTGCTAATGTGTGAACCTGGGCCTGCAAACAGGCAACACCACTTTCCCTGGTACACACTCTGGTGCACCTTGACTAGTATTGGTAGCCAAAAGTAAAGTTGGCTCAAACCTATCAGTTTAACAAGAAGTTTTACAAAAGGCTTCCAACATTCTAATAGGAAGGTAATTAGGCTGTTGGTTTTGTTGTTGCTTGATTTTTTATTTTGACACTGGCATTCCTGCAAACAAAGCCCTTTACCAATTACTAACTTTCCAAGGGATGCCAGTCCTGCAGGTCTGCAAATGCCCTTCATTAACAAGGTCCTTTGATGTTTTGTCATGAGTCATCTTAAATTCTGGACCAGGATTTAGGAGAGTTTAAATTCTACAGGACTGCTGGGAATGCTAGCCTACCACATTCTGCAGCCTAGAGCAGTAAGGAGCTATGCCAACAGGGTTTTGTATTCTCAAGTCTGCCTTACAAGAAACTATGCAGCAGGCTACTGTTATTAATTAATAAGTTGTATGGATTTTAAAACTGAATCAATAGAGACATCCACAACTATAGGGGCGTTTAAATGTAATTGTGAGGATTTAGTTGCTGATGTAAGATTTACCTAGGAAGAATCAGCTCTAAGTTCAAGGGCTAATATAGTTTGTGTGTTGGAAGCAAACCACAGGATGAGAGGGTATTCAGTATGAGGGCTGGGGCACTGGGGAAATATGCATATCCAGGGGAATTCTCCTGATGGTGGGAATTCAGTAATTTTTCTGTTCTCTTTTATTTCCTCACTCTTTCCTTCCTTTGTTTCCACCCTTCTTCCTTTGTTTCTTTGGTTGTCTCTTATTTTTTGAGATAATTAGAAAGAATTTCCAATGCCGCTTATTTTAAAGATTGTTTTTCTTTTTCTTTGTCTACTGTTGCCTGATTTATATCAGAAAAAATTCACAAAGTCATGTGCTCATTGCAAATGTATGTGTGTTTTGTAAAACTTCTGAATAATGGAATAAATCCTGACTCCGAAGATGAGAGACAGCTTTAATCTTATTAAGAGCAGAAATTGGTTTGTTCACTCAACAGCAACATTTGAATGTCACTGGGGCTTATATACCATTGCTTCGTAAATTTACTGTCATTTCTAAATACTAAGTTGCTTGAATATCCTAGAAATTATATGGGAAGTTAGAACTGAAACTTGAAAACATGGAGAGGTGGGCAGTGACCTATTGGACATCGAGTCAGATTTCATAAAACATAAGCCAAAACAGGGTCATGGGTCAAGGCCTAAGGCATCGGAACACAAAGACCACAGAAATATGATTGTAAATGCTTGTGCCAGCTTCTATCTTGACCAGCCACCCATTCTGGTGGTGTAAGTCACTGTAGGCACTATCAGAATGGGAAGAGGCAACCCTGTAAGAAGCAGTTACCATGTGCTCTGAGATGTCTTTCTGGACATCCCCTTATTCCATTCATCAAGACAGCACTTGTGTTGGGCACTCAGTAGGTCAGAACCTAGTTGTCCATGCATTTCTAAGACAAAGAAATGTCTGGACCACCCTTGAGGAACGTGTCATCAATGTACTTGTATTTCCAGGTTGCAGGGTTCCACCAATTAGAATGACTGATGAAGACATCTCTGCCTTGCAAGCAAAAGCTACTACTACTATTCTCTCTGTAAAAACAAACCTACTCATGCACATTTATACATGCACATTCACCTGTCCACCTGTGCTTTTGTCAGTTGTCTCAGACAGGTGTTCACTGAATCACATGTTCATAAGAATAGCTATCTTTTAATTCTAATGTTATAGCTAAGGGTGATATGAGAATCATTATTTGCCAACTGGTATTTAACACATGCCTTCTTTAAGATCATTAAGGCTCATCAGATCATGTCCACTGGGATAGAAATTATTCATCTGTATTCAATTACAAGTTTCTCACATTGATAAGATCAGATACACATCAAGGCCATGGTGTAGCTGACAAGTCACACAAGAATCTTTGATGGGCTACACTTAACCTAATAGCAGCAGACAGATGAGAGGCTCCTAGCCTCCTCTCCAGTTACATTACGATTTTGTTTTCTGGGATGAAAAGCTAAAAATGTAGAAGCTAAATACCATGGTTACAGACTTTTTTCATGAGGCAAAGTAGATACAAAATACTAATTTTCAAAAATCCTAGTATTATACCCAATCTGACTTAGACTTGCTAGCATTTGCTAGAGGCCTGGATCATTCAGCCCTATGCTTTCATTAT